CAAGTTTCTTTTCCCATAAATATGAGAAGCCCCCCCCCCGCCTCTCCAAGTTTCCTCTTTCATCTTTATTTGGGAACATCCTGGGTAAAGTGTTCCTGGTGTCTGTCTACACAGTAGGTTCCCCCTTACCTGCAGTTTGACTTTCCATAGCTTGGGTGACCTGTGGTCCATAAAGCATTAGATGATCCTCCTGATCTGTCAGAAGGTCAACAGTGGCCTAATGCTGCGTCCCTGCCTACGTCTTTCCCTCACTGCGTCTGCTGCTCTGGGTGTCTCATCCTCTCCCATCCTCACTAGAATGGTGAGTACAGTACAAGAAGGTAGTTTGAGAGACCACGTTCACATAATATATCACGCTTGTTCTATATTATCGTTATCCTTGTTAATCTTACTGTGCATAGTTTATAAGTCAATTTTATCACACGTATGTATGTATAGGGTTCGGTACCACCTGTGGATTCAGGCACCCACTGGGGGTCTTGGAACATATCCCCATGGGTAAGAGGGGCCTACTCTATCTTCTATCAATATTTAGAATTCACTCAACTGCACTTGAGTAAATTCTGCACTTTACGGCACTTGAAACGATCTAAGGTGAGAACTATAAGGAATTAATTAATGCGAGCTCCTTAGAATGCTGGTGATGAGCCGTATACATAAGTTGTTGTTTCTTTATGAAATATTGACAGTAAACCTTTGAGACTCTTTCTGCTCAGGTGGGTCAGTTTTTGAAGCTCCGGCAGTTCTTGATGGAAGCTGTCTGACTTACTAAAGAATCTTTAGGCTGACGATAGCAGCAGTAGGATCTCACAAGATCCCGAGGTGCCAGGTTTGGGCATCCGTGCTCTGGGCAGAGGCACCCAAGGCCAAGTAGAATCATCAGCGGGTCCCACCCCCACTCACGGAGTAAGGTAAGGACCGCCCAGCCTGCTCGGCAGTACAACGAACGGAAACTGTTCTTTCCGTGGATCTTAATTTCAAGACCGTTTGCCCTTGTCCTGTGACCTGTGAATGGCACCCTCCATTTATTTCCACAGTAGACGCAGGCTGAATTTTCTGAAGTGAGCCTATTAAAAGATTTAGATTGTCTACAAATCTGATAACGTTATTTCCACTGCCCTCATGTTGCATAACACTGGCTTTTGGGTGCCCCCAGTAAAAATCATTCTTCCGTTGTGTAGGTGGAAAAAGCAGTCATACTGAAACAAACCCCCCATGCCCTGCATTCTAGTGACCGGACTGGCACCAGTACTGGTTAAAACTGGAACTAGATCTTCTACATTTGGAAACATCTGACCCCTGCAGGCATTTTCACCAGAGTGAGTGACAGCCTGACATCTGGGGTGCTGCTTCCTGACCACACAGTTTATACCCATGGAGCCTGGTGGCAGCTGCAGGGAGAGATACAGGATTGCAAAACTGGCCATTTTGTGTTCACTCTGTTACAAGGCAATGGCGATGGATACTTTATGAAGGTTTATCCAACTCTGACTTTTATTCAGGCTTTTCTCTATATGCAGTCAATACAACCCTCCTAAGACCTTTGTACAGGTGGCACTTTTCAGGACTTTGTGCAATGGTTACAAGCCGGGAGTTTTTTCCCCAACCAGTATACATAACAGAAGCCAAATGTTTGCTTCTTTGAATGTTTAGGTCATTACCCCTTTCCTCCGGATACATACATACTGCATTTGGAAATCAGTTGCTCCAATTCTAGATTCTAAGGCTCTGGGATATTCTGGGCACATCTATACTTGCCCTTAAGCATGATCAGCTCGGGGCACCTCTAGTTTTATTCATGTTACAATTGTACGTAGTCTCATTGTTTGAAATGAGTTTTCACGTTATAAAAAGGTATTTGTAGTACAGTTTGGATACATACGTTATGTTCATATCGACACTGACTCCTGGTGCTCCCCTTTCTGTGGATACCAGAGCCAATGTTGATACGTTATCCACTAAGGTGGCTATCATGCCACCATGCAGAGTGCCGTACTTATTGGCATGGTCGTCTTCTACTCTCATTTCACAAATCAGTTTCCCAGGGGTAGCAGAGACCAGAGTCATCTAAGTGTAAAAGAAAAAAAGAAGTTTGAACATGCTTTGGTATTAGGAAAGCCCAAACAGCCCATCAAGAATTATCGTCCAATTAAACTGAGTCACCCCAGGGCCTCGTGACTGGCTCAGTTGGTGGAGCGTGCGACTCGATCTCGGGGTTGTAAGTTTGAGCCCCACACTGGGTGTAGAGATTACTTAAAATCTTAAACTAAGTCACCCCAAAACAGTTGGGCAGAAATTCAAATAAGTTGCCAATCTCTCTCTGATAGAAATTACCCCAAATATAAATTGTCTTAATCTTTTTTAACGTTTGCTTATTTTTGAGAGAGAGAGAGAGAGAGGCAGAGCATGAGCAGGGGAGAGGCAGAGAAAGAGAGGGAGACACAGACAGAACCTGAAGCAGGCTCCAGGCTCTGAGCTGTCAGCACAAAGCCCGACGTGGGGCTCGAATCCACAAAACATAAGATGACCTGAGCTGAAATCAGAGACGCTTAACCGACTGAGCCACTCAGGTGCCCCTCATATATAAATTATTTTTAAAGAAAAAGGAATATTTAGGGAAAAGACAGTAGTTTTTGTTAATCTTCACTGCAGAAATCAAATATTCTAAGCTTTCCAGCCTTATGTATTACAACCTGACATCTCAATGTCTCCATAGAATTTTAGACCAAGAAAGCTAGCTGGTCCCTGTGATCTGTTAACCCATGATAGGTTTCATTTGGACGTTCCCTAGTTTTTGCAGAGAGTAATTTTTATAATGACTTTGTAATGAATAGTTTAAAATAATTTGAATAGACTGGAAGAAATTCAGTAATTCAGTGAGTGTCTAGAATTCACAAACTTATACCATAAACCCATTTTAATATACAAAGTTTCACAGAATCCAGAAGTTAAACTGCTTTTTAAGATCCTGCCCCATTTATGGTATTATAAAGAAAAATAAGTACATAAAAAAGGGAAATAATAAATTACAATTTTTATATCAAAATCTTTAAAAAGGAAAGTTTTGGGGACCCTGGGGTGGCTCAGTTGGTTGAGCATCTGGCTTCAGCCTAGGTCATGATCTCATGGTTTGTGAGTTAAGCCCCATATGGGGCTCTCTACTGTCAGCACAGAGCCTGCTTTGGATCCTCTGTCCCCTGTCCTCCCCTCCCACTCTGCCCACTGCCCACTCTCTGCCCACTGCTCCCCCCCCCCACTCACGTGCACGCTCTCAAAAAATTTAAAAAAAAAGGCTTTTGGAAAAATAATAGAAATATGTTTTTTATATCCTACTTAAATTACTAGGAAAAACGTCATAGCGTAAGATTGAGAAATTGGAACTGAGCTGTGAATGGGATGTGCTACATTTAGCAATGGTCATTTTTGCTGTTGCTAGAAGTGTTCAGGCAGAATACAGATGAGTATTTGGTGTATCTGTTGTATTTGGGGGTGTGGGGTGTCTCAAGCATTAAACGATTAGGTTCTAGATAACCGCTATCTTAACTGAGCATTTTCCTATGCTAGGCTCTGTGGCAAACACTTAAATACTATGTAATAAGGAAGGGGTAGTTTCCACTGCTCCTTTAAGTAGGTAACTGAAGTTCATGGTGGTTTGTTGTTGGGGTCACCCGTGATGGGACAGACCTGAAATTTAGATCTAGGTCTGTCTATCTTCTAGTCTCCCTAGACACTATAATGTCTCTGGATTTGCAGTGGCCTTTAACAGCTCCCACCAGGAAGACGCTTTGGAGTTTCACAAACCACAACTTTAGTGATTTTGCTGTTGTTTTTCCCCTGGAGAACTAGGCCCTGAGGTAAAACACAGCCACACAATATAAACCATCCTAAACAATATCATGTCATGTTTTGCATAACAGGTAAGTCAATGGCAAATAATGTTAGGATCAAGTCTATCCACACGATAAATGATGTAGCCACAAGGTGTCCTCGTAAACTACACATGGAACAGGACCAACGTGTACACTGCCCTCATTCGGGCATTTACACGAGTATGTTAAGCACTGACAACGTCAAGACAAATGAAATCAAATCCCTCCTCGTAAGGGGTTCGCAACCTAAAGGAAGAGACCCGTACGCAGACCACTGCAGTGGGAGGGTTCCTGGAGAAGAGAGTACAGGTGGCTTGAAGGGCATCTAACTTTAATGGAGTATGTTTTTAGAGAACAGACATTAGGAAAGGCCTCCTGAGGGACAGGGAGGAGTGAGCCAAGTGAAGATGGGGAACAAGCCAGACAGTTCAGGGAAGAGAACTGAAGGCAGTTGGGTGCCATGTGAAGGCCTCGCGTGTTGAGTAGAAATCAGAGATTATCGGACTTCGGCGGGGGTGACAGGAGGCCATGCAAATGTCAGCTTGACTTTCTACTGCAGAATACAGTTTTTGACTGTTTTTCTTTCCCCCAACTTGAAAGGCCAAAGGACACAGTGGTACACACGAGTGGTTTAAAATACACATTGGAGTAGAGAGAATTTTGTTCCCGTCAGCCTGATCCTGCAAAAGAAATGCTTTTATGTGTCGCCCTCTGTCGTCTCCCTGGGTAAAATAAAGGAATTAAGCCACTGGAAGCTAACAAAGGCATCGATGTCGGAGCCAGCCCCCAAAGCTAATCAATAGTCTTGTTGGGGAAGAGGCCCACGGAGAGCTAACCTCTCTCTGATGAGGAAGGGGGGTATGAGGAGAATCCTGTTAAAAAAAGAGAGCACAAATGATCTTGGTCTCAGTCAAGATACGGGTTATAGGGGACACGCTTGTTTGGTTATTAACTACGGCTAACTTTGGGTTCGAGACCACACTCCGAGACGCTGCACGCATTGTTTCCACCCGCACCCAGATCTCTGAAGTGGGTCCTGTTGTTTTCATCGGCCTCCCACATCTCAGGTTTAACTCCTCTGCAGAATCACCTCCCTTCACGGCTCACCTGGACTGCTGCGGGCAACCGGGTCCTGATGCGTCGGGTGTCACGCGGAAGCATAGCTGCCACGCCTGTTACGATGCAGCGGGGCTGAAACCAACAATGCTGAGAAGCACCCAGATACGTTCCATTCTCTGGGCCACCGCGGTACGATGGCAAGAACCTTTATGGCTCAGCCCAGTCCAACACGTGGGCTCCTCGGTTTATAGGAAAAATTACGTATGTGTGCACACATACGATCACCTGTCCCTTTTCTGCACGGCCTGCAGCGGACTGCCCCTCCTCGGTTCCTCACGTGTTCACACGAGTTCCCATGGCTCCTGCCGCCAACCCTCCTTCCTCACCCCGCACACCCAGGCTCCGATTCCATCGCCGATAACCGTCTCCCCGTTCCTCCCTTACCTTTCCAGGAAAGACAGTGAGAAGGAATGCCTGATAATCAGCACGAAGGAGATGGCCCCCAACAGGAAGCTCCGTGCGGACCCCAGAGTTCTCCTTAGGCCTTGACGTTTCCGGTCATCCTGGTCCTGGTCCACAGTCATCACTGTGACTGCTGGTGATCGCTGTGCCGCTCACCACCCTGCCTCTGCTAATGAATGAAGACGTGTGTGTTCTCTGGCTCAGTGAGGGTGTCTGCCATGGGCCTAAAGGAGCGTGGCACGTGGCCTGAGAAAATCTGTGTATGTAACCACGCGAGCCAGCCACGGGAGGACGATGAATACGAAAGACCGCGCTTAACACACAAAAGCACCGAGAACCGAGGAGGTCAGTGAATGAGAAGTTTATGTATTTGTGAAAGAGGTTGTCTTCAAGCAAGTTGTCCTGATGACAGACACTGCTGATTTCATATGTGACGCAGTGCAGATACCAGAAGGAAGTGTCTGAGGACAACATATAAATGTACCTTCATAAAAGCAGGAAAGGAGGGAAGAGCAAGAAGGCGGGAGGCACATCGGCAAACAGGCCAGTTACGGTAAGGGCCCCTAAGAGGGCATATGCTACAGAAGTACTGTGGCTCAACCATGTGCTGTAGCCGCCCAGCACTTGGGTTTTATAATGTGTGTTTTAGCGGTTTAATTGCACGGGTGGCTTTAGATCAATAGGCAAGAGCATCAGCTCTGGAGCCAGGCTGAGGCAAGATCCTTAACTGTGGTCAAGAGCAGGGTAACGTTCAAATTAAGCAATTGGAACACAGCCCGGCATATCATGGGGGATCGAGACATTTCAGTTCTCATCCTTGGTAAAGTTGGGACCCGAACACAACTGTGAAACCCCAAGTTGGTTTGTATAGTTTCACATGGATTTTTCTTAAAATCGCCCGATTGGAACTTAGAATTTTCCAATTACTAAACTCATTCACTGAATGACCTCATGACTAAATTCAGTGGATATTTTTCAGGCCTTTGTTTACCTGACCACTCAGCATGTGAAGACATCCAAACCTTTTCCTGGCCTCTCCTGAACTCCCACGTCCACCTTCTCCTGGGTTTCCTCCTCCTCCTCTGTGGAGTGCCACAGTCCCTTTGCTGGCTCTTACTCTGCACCGCCCACCCGAGTCTTAGGGTCATCTTATCATCCGGCCTCATGAGACCACCAAAGGCCACACTGGCTTTCAGTTTCCCTCAGAAGGTTAGAGGACAGGTTCTCTAAAGTTAGGCACTATAATAGAGTTAATGGCATGGGCTTTGGGGCAGATACGTGGGTTAAGATCCCAATTACTAGCCGTAAGGGCTTAGAAAAGGTAAGCTTCGACTTTCTCATGTATAAAATGGGGATGACAGTCACAGCATTGCCAGGAGGATGAAATAAAATTTGTAGGTAAACCAATCAGGCTCAGAGTACTCAAAATACCTGTTATATTACTGAAGAGGACTCTGGCCTGCTTGCTTTTCTTCTTGCAGTTAGGACTTAAACTCTGCTTCATTTAAGGGGCTTGAACAAACTGAATAACCAGGTGCCTTTCTGAAGGTGAATATGATCCCATGAGATCCCGTGTCTTATATCCTGCAGTTGGGCTCCTTCCTGAGCAGATCCTGTGTACGTATCTGTAGAAGTACCAGCCCCCGGCCACAGGCAATCTCAGCTGGATAAAGTCTT